TCTTTTCTAAGAAAATCAAAGATAGGCTTGCCTTAAAAAAAAAAGTTAATGAAAAGTTTGTACGCTTTCTTTTAATTAATGATAATCCAAATTGTTTTGACTTTACCACTTTTTTCCCCTCGCAATATATATGGATTTTTTATTCCAGTCCAGTCGGTTCAACCAAGGAAATATAGCATGCTGACGCGTTAAGTTACTTTTAAGCATGCATATTAAGCTAGCATGACATGTAATAAGCAGGTGCTAGCGTATTGAGTTATGTTGAGCTAAGTTGGTATGTACGCTGGTGCTAACCTAACACGTAAGGTTATGCATTAGATTAATATTATAAGCAAATATATCCAGCTGAATTAGCATGTAAGCTGGTGCTACCTTTCTCAGCCTTTTGGCTAAAAGTATATCAATTGTAGCATCTATTGATTCTGTTATAATTAGTTTAACATCTTATCCATGCTCCACCGGGGGAAAAAAAAAATGGTGTTAACCTAATGCTTTAGCTTAAGCTAACTTAGCATGTAATTTACTGCTCACCTAATGCGTAAGGTTACTTCCAAGCAAGTAATATTAAGCAAAATTCTAAGTAAATATATAAAGCTGRAAAAAAAAGTGCTGACGCCGTTGAGATATGGATGCTAGACAATCGTTGGCATTCTGCAAGGTGGTGAAGACCATAAGCRTACTCCTAAGCAAATACGAAGTTGGGTTATGCTTATTAGTTATAACTTATAAACAATAAACAAGCTAACGATGCTTATTTTGCTAACTAACTTGCTTTGAAAACATCAAAATGAGCAAAGTTGTTGAGCAAAGGATGTTGGACAAGGATTTTCCAAAGTGCAATAGTGACTATCCATAAGTAAGCAGCATCTTGCACCCATATGGTYGATGCCAGAAAATGAACTTGCMSTGTCTTGCATGTGTATCCTTGTATGTTTTGACTATTGCGTGTTGAAAACATGTTATTGTCCTCCCTATGGGATTGCCCTTGTAAACTGTATTGAAGAGAGGGGGAGGGAGGGGGAGGGGGGGGATCCATGTAAGCACAAACTCGAAACACTTCGAGAGTGTGAACTCTAAAGCAACTTAAAATCTCTCTAGTGGAAATTGCAGAACATCACACACAAAAAAAAACGGAACTCTGGGAGTTTGAAGCTACATAAAATCTCTCTCTTGGAAATTGCAGAACATCACACACACACACAAAGAAAAACTTCACAAAGGAAGTCATTCAAAATTTCAAAATGGCACAAGCCCCCCCCCAAAAAAAAAGGCACAAACCACAAATTTTTGAACAAGCTTAGGCCTTTTCGGCTCTCTCTGGAGACTGGAGCCATGAAGGTCTATCTAGGACCTAAGCAACTTCAGTCAAGGTCAACTTATACTAGTTTGCGATTAAGTTGCGGCTAATAATGAACGGATGTTCCTAGCTTGCAAAGTGACAATCACTTTTTTGGGTTTTTCTTTTCTTTTCTTTTTTTTTAAGATAGCAAGAGCCTTTTTATTATTTTTTAATCTTTTTTTTTTAACTAAGTTTTATTCTTCTCTCAATAATACCTCAGACTACCTACCTACCTATATGTCTTAGCACCTCCCTCCACTCGTGTCAAAGTACCGCAGGGTAATCCGAGGAATATATTTCTACTCCACTTTGCGCTGGTCCTAACCCCTGGCGATGGATGGAAGGGGGGAAGGAATGCCCATGCCAAGACCAACCAGGGGGGCCCAGGTYGACTATCTCAGCTGGTGAACCTGCAGTGCACCACAGGAGGCTGTAGGGATTCTAATRTAAGACATGGGTAATTGAACCCACAACCTTCTGAATTCCGCTTTCGTGTTGTGCCAATTGACCTAGGCCGCTGGCCTCRCTGCCCCCGTTACARCCCTTTRTTCATTGCCATGGCCGCAAAWWWWTTTTGAGCACCCGACGASTGCAGTAACCCGTGTTCTGCAGCAGTCTRGGCCYTCAAAACGGAGTCCAGACAACGCAGGCCAAACTCGGCCTGCACCAGGCAGTGTGACCACGCACTGCCCTTGGAAAGTCAAAAGTCCAAGTCAACTGTGAAGTCAAAGGTACCACGCCCAGGCCCTTAGTCGGATACACTCACTTGTTGTGCGCAGGTACCCAGACAGCATCAAGGCCACAGGGAGTTCGGTTTCAGGCCTATCTGGGCTGTCCTTTGTCTGGAGATCTCGACGGTCGAGGGAAGCAGCACCCAGGGTCCAGACCCCGCGTCAACGCTACATAAGCGTTGACCTCCTAACTTGGAGGACATTCTGTCTTGCGTCAATGCTGACTTCACGCGTTGACGACGATGCTGGCTGGACGCTGCGACGCTGGCTGGACGCTGGCTTTGCGCTGGCACTTGGGCGACTACGACGACGCGCTGCTGGCTCAGCATGGTGGCTGGCTTGCAATTGTCTTCTGGGCATGCTAACGTGGCAGCTGCCACGCACCGCCGCTGACGTGACCGCTGCCACGTGTATTTTGACGTGGCGAGGCTACACGAGTGATATTGACATTCGGGAGGAGATCATGACTGTGGGTTGATCGGAGATACGTACCTGGTTATCTTGATGTCGACATTGCTCCAGTTGCTGATGAAGGACTGATTGACGTGCCACGTGGCACATTGTGATAGAACTTCGGATGCGCGTTCAGATTATTGATTACTAAGGTGGTGATCGAGGAGGGAGCCCGAAGCAGAAGTGGGCATTGTCTTCTATCTGCCCTCTAAGTATATTCTCCCTCCTCTCTCCTTTGTCTGTGTATGTTTCTCCCATCTCATTGTATCTGGACACGATTATGATTATTGACAATCATCAGCATGTTGATATCTATCTGGTCTTGCATTGTTGACAAGTGTTTTCACGATCTGGGTGCATTGCAATTTGGTATCRGAGCTRTACTCCCTACGATGACCTGTACGAGAACGACAAAGTGGTAACGTCTACATTAAAGATAGGTGCTAGCGTGGACAAGTGCGGGACAGTGCACRTCAGGTGCTGACGTGGCATTGGTATCCCGACAGGGGAAAGTCCAGCAGGATCGCGCTGTGATCCAGATCCCGATCAATCRTATTTGCGATCGGGATCCATTGCTGACGKGGCCGGTGATTGATRAGGAGTGTTGATGTGGCAATGCTGACTCACCACTTGTCTACTGTGGTGAGGAGCTTTGTGCWGACATGGCATTGTTTGACGTGACGCTCCATTACCTGGYTGACGTGGCATTGTACGACGCGCTGGTACCGCTCTTGACGTGKACGCCACTGAAGATGTTGACTRGACGAGGGGATACACGTGGCAGGCAGGAAAGTGCCTAACTTCGACGACGACGACGCACAGTGCTGACGTGCACCCCATTGCTAACCTTGATTGGACTGGACATGCTAACGTGGCATACTCTATGAGTTGCTGAGTTGGCATGCCAAGGGTGACAAGTGGCAGGCACTGTTGTGCCTAAGTAAGGGCTGCACTCTGATGATTGAAGTGGCACGGCTGGAAGACTGACGTGSGTGTGGTGCCAGACGTCAGATCAGGTGCTGATCACACAGGACCGGAGAAGGAGCARCAGCAAGGGGAAACACTAACTATTGTTGTGATTATTTGTTGGCGAACTTACCTGTTGTCTTTTGCTGTATTGTGCACCTGTGTACTTACTTGTRTGTGTTGATGATCATGCTGGCCTGAGTTGCGGTACCTGAAATAGAACAGACGTCATCACATAGGAAGTAGAACAACAATCAGAGTTAGTAGAAGTTTTTGTTTCTGTCATTTAATCTTTCTGTTCCGGTATTGTAAATTTCTGAGAATCAGGTGATTGCTTAAATTATTGTCTTTTCTATTTTATTTTTGCAGTAGAACAACGTGGCCGACAAATTTTCTTGTTTTTGTCCTCCGAAAATGTCTCACTTCTGGAAACATTTGTGAATGTCTATTCTAACTCGATTCGTGACAGCATTTCCCGCTCCCTATCTTGTTTGTGCTCTCTGTTGGTGACGGACCTTCAGAGATCAGAACTTAGAGACAGGCAGAAGAGAGGAAACAGGAATTGCTGGCACTTTGGAACCAGCTCCTATGTTCAAGTGGAGCATCTGGGTGGAGATGGGCGGAGCTTTCTGAAGGGCCCTGGACGAAGCACTGGGTCATGGTCACCGTGCCAACCCACAGGGAGTAGAGCACGCATGCCTAGCTGCTTGTCCTTTGTTCGGCTTGCTGCGCTGTTAGATGGGTACTACTGGGCAGGCCAGCCCTACAGGAAAGACGAGCACCCGACGTCTATAAATAAACACGGGAAGGGGAACCATTGGCTTTGATCGTCGTCCGGCTGCGACGTAAAATAATTCCTGGAGTCACTTGGGGGCGGACGTTGGATTGCCCCTGGATCAGCCAATGGTTGGAAGGCTCGCGGCACGCCGAGGATAAATATACGTGCAAGGCTGGCCAGCTCAGTGGATACTCGGGGCACAGGGGTGGGCTGGACACACACACCTTTAGACACGCTACGCCTCCAGATTGCTCAGAGACGCTGACATCAAGTGATACTCAGGGGAACTAAGGGAGGGGTTGATTCCAGGTGATAAGCTCGCGAAAATGCCATGCTGTCCTATCCACACAAGTGATTCTATTTTTACGTTTTGATTAGTTAGATGTACTGCCATTGACATCTGACAGACAGCATTAGTTAGAACTGTTTATTGTTCCTGGTGCTTCTATTTGTGGACTAGTCAGACTAAAAATAGTCTCAGTTGTAGGAATTTGACTTACCTGTTGACCTCAAGTGATATCTGTTCCGAAATAGCCACCCACTAATTAGTTGGCTTGTGCACTATGTTGCCGTAGGCATCTAGTATGATCTAGTGTAGACGGTGCACAGTGCTGTAGCCTATAAGCGAGGAGGAGGACATCGGAGAGGACGATCGCAGAATCTTGCGATCAGGTAGACGCCCGATAGCCCACGTGTCCTTAGGACCGGAGGGTGATAGGATTCTGTTCCGCAGGCTTAGGGAGAGGCAGCAGCAGCAGAGGAGGGCTAGAGCAGCCGAGGCCAACAGAACTTTAGTTAGCGAGGCCGGTGCTACAGCAGCCATGACCACTACAGCCATGGTCACTTCTGCGCAGCAGACTTCCCCAGCCAGTAGTTCAAGTGTCGTCGGGTCAACGGTCGCGCAGACCGTGAGTCAGTCCACTGGCGTTATGGCAAGCCAGGCAGCGGTGTTGACTCCAGAGGATGTCGCCATACAGCAGGTAGCCCTGCAAGAGGCACAGCTACAGCAGGCATTAGGAGAGTTAAAGGCGGAGAAGGAGAAGATGATCAGAAGAAGAGCCAGGATGCAGCGGAGAGGGGCAGACATAGAGGAGTTAGAGACGATGGACCTGAACAATATGGATGATGATGTGAGGGTAGTTAGGAGGGCCCTGCTAGGCGTTATAGAGATGCAGGAGCATCAAACTACAATCCTTCAGGACATTCAACAGAGCCTAGCCGTTTTGGCAGGCCGTGCTCAGGCAGCACCATCACCAGCCGGGCCTGGGTCTTGGCCCGTGTCGTATCCTCCTTTTTCTGTCCCACCGGTGATAGGGGTATCCCCATATGTAGCCCCGTCATCGGTTGCTATTGTTTCCCTGGGCATGCCGCTGTCAGGAGGGGTAACAACAGGGAGTAATTTGCAGGTTCCTGTACAGACAGTGTTTACTCCAAGTCCGTCRCAGGTTGCAGTCACTACGCAGCCTGCTGTCTCGCAGCCTGTGCAGCCACAGGGCACACAACCCCAACAGCTAGCACAGCAGCCGGTGTCACCGGATCCACAGCCCGGAGTGATGCAGGGACTGGGACAAACTTAGTGGGTCCCAAAGACGGCCATCGCCGCTCCCAAACCTTTTACAGGGGACAAGAGAGGCGAAGACCTCGGCACATGGTTGAGGGCAGTGCCGGTCTATGTCAGGTGTAAACTCACCCTGCCGCACGAAGAAGTGCTTGTGGCTGCTTCCTACCTAGAGGGTAATGCAGCAAGATGGTTGAGCGGTTTAGTCCAACTCCAGGGATATGGTCATGACTTCCGCGCTTGGGCGGCCTCCCAGAAATTGGAGGACTTCCTGAAGATGGTGGAAGAGAGGTGGCACGATCCTCAGGAGGCCCAAAGGGCCACTGATGCGATCCTGACACTGCACACGCGGCAGTTTAAGTCAGTAAGGGAAGCCACCGACGCTGTTGAGCGTCTGAGGCCCAAAGGGCCACTGGTGCAATCCTGACACTGCACACACGGCAGTTTAAGTCAGTAAGGGAAGCCACCGACGTTGTTGAGCGTCTGATCTGTGTCCCAGGGGTGCGCTATGACCCCCAGGTCCTACTGACTTCGTACTTGAGATGCTTTTCACAGCCTCTCAGGAACCAGTTGGCAAAAGAGGCCAATATCAACATGCACAACTTTACTTCGTTTAGCAAGGTGGAGCTAGACCTTGAGGCAAAGATAGGGCATGGACATGCACCCACTACGGATGGGAGAAAGAAGACACTGCCTCCCAACAAGAAGGCGAAGGGTCGCATCATGTTTGTCGACAACGATGGTTCAACCATCGAGTTGGACGGCAACTTCCAGGAGGGAGTAGGTTCAGAGGCGGGCAGCGTAGAAGCTTCAGAGGGTGGAGTAGTCGCTGCCGTTTCTCAAAAAAGTAAGGCGACCGGAAGACGCCGCGGAGGCTCCCGGTCTAGGAGTCAAGTTGACCCCAATGCTCCTCCATGGGAGAAAGCGGGTCTTACTGAGGACATGTGGAGAGACCGTTACTCACGGCAGGCCTGTATTCGTTGTGGTCAATATGGCCACAACCAATTCAAGTGCCGCAACAAGAAAGTGACAAAAAGATCCCGCCTACGATGGGGCAAGTGTTGGGATCCTCTCATCCCGTTGGTAGCAATGTTGCCAGTTCTTCAGGCAGTGCTCCAGGACACACGTCGGGCCAGTAGGAATTGTAGTTGTTCCTGCTAGGGTCGAGGTGGTGGAGACACCCTCACCATCTCGAGAAATGGCCCAAGCTACTGACTCCAGCGTCGTCCCGCAAGCACATTCAGAAAAATCGAGCCTCTGTTCGATGAATGTGTTTGAGTCCTTAGAGGAGCTAGAGGTGGAGTGGTCTAGATTAGACCCGCTAGCTTCTTGGACGGCACTAGTCAAAGCCCCGAAGGGTGAAATGTTCGTCAGCGAGGTAGTCATTGGCGGCCGCAAGGCCAGGGCCTATTATGACACTTGCTCGACTCGGAACTTTATTAGTCTCAGGTGCGTTGAGAGACTGCGCTTACAGGGGCGAGTGCAGCGCCTGAGTCGACCTGTGGCGTCGACCTGTGCCAACAAACAGCGCATGGTAGTTAACGACTACCTCCAGGATGTAGAGTGTTGTTTCCCGTACGCAGTGTTGTTTCCCGTATGCGGGAGGGGACTTGAGACATCGTGTCTCGTTCCTAGTGAGTGACGAGCTCCCAATGGACATGTTACTAGGTATGTACTACCTCTCTGTAGCACAGCCCCAGTTTGACTGGGACCGAAAAGTGGTCAAACACAACTTGCCAGGTGGGGGAACCGCCAGATTACATCAGTTCAAAGCTAGTAGTCTGATTGAGTCCTATGGGTGCATGTGTGCGGCCGCGTTCTACAATTATTATAAGCAAAATCAGGAGGAGGGTATGTATTTAGTCTATGTCTCTGCTGCAGGCGAGCCGGTGAAAATGCCGCCGGGGATAGAGGGAGTAGTTGCTAAGTACCCTGACCTATTTGAAGAGCCAACAGGGGTTGTTGAGAGGGAGGTCGTCCACGCGATAGAGATTATCCCAGGATCTAGTATTCCGAAGGGAAGGATCTATCGGATGTCTCCAGGCGAGCTTGATGAGCTTCGCCGCCAACTCAAGGAACTCGTAGAGAAGGGTTGGATCCGACCGAGTGTCTCTCCTTATGGGTCTCCAGTTCTATTCGTGCCTAAGAAGGAGGGTACCCTTAGGATGTGCATTGGCCTCAATGCCATCACCGTAAAGAACAGAGAGCCCCTACCGCGCATCGACGATCTGCTAGATAGAGTGCAAGGGTGTCGGTACTTCAGTAAAATAGATCTGAAGTCTGGGTACCATCAGATTGCGATCCGGCCCGAGGATCAACACGAAACCGCCTTTCAGACCAGGTACGGTCTGTACGAGTTTGTGGTGATGCCTTTCGGCCTTTGCAATGCTCCTGGCACCTTTCAGCACGCTATGAATCGGATATTCTATGACTACTTGGATAAGTTTGTCATTGTGTACCTCGATGACATACTTATTTTTAGTAAGACTGTCGAGGAGCATGTTGCACATCTGGACAAAGTCCTCAGTCTCTTGCGACAACACAAGTTCAAGATCAACGGTGAGAAGTGCGAGTTTGGCCGCACCCGTGTCTTGTACTTGGGTCATGAGATCTCCGCGGAAGGATTGAAGCCCAATGACGCGAAGGTGGCCAGCATTCGTGATTGGCCACGTCCTCACTCTGTGACTGAGATGAGATCTTTCTTAGGAATGACAGGCTACTATAGGACTTCCGTTAAGAACTATAGCATAGTGGCCGCTCCTTTGACTGATCTGACCCGCCTTGACACCCCGTGGGAGTGGACAGATGAGTGCGAGGCTGGTTTCAAACATCTGAAGCATGTGTTGACGCACTATGAAGTCTTGAAACTTCCTGATCCTGACAAGCCGTTCATAGTCACCACGGATGCCAGCCAATATGGCATTGGCGCCGTGCTCGCGCAGCAGGAGGGGCCAAAGTTGAGGCCAATCGAGTACATGTCGAAAAAGATGCCGTCTCAGAAGTTGGCAAAGTCCACCTACGAGAAGGAACTCTACGCAGTGTACAAGGCTCTGACCCATTGGAGACACTATCTCCTTGGGAGATTCTTCATCCTCAGGACTGATCATCAGACCCTGAGATGGATGAGAACTCAGCCCGTACTTTCTGACGCTGAAGAGTTGGATCAAAGTCATTGAGCAGTATGACTTCGACCCCCAGTATCTCAAAGGGGAGTACAACAAGGTGGCTGATGCCTTTTCGCGTAGACCTGACTTTTCAGGTGTGCTGATTACTGAGTTCGACCTCACGGACGATGTAACTCGCTCTTTGGTGGAAGCCTATCGCGAAGACCAGTTCATGTCTGAGATCATACGCAGACTTCAGGCAAAGGACAAGAAGACCTCTGTCAAGTTTGAGTTGGTCAATGGCTTGCTGTTCCTTGAGAAGGCAGGTAATAAACGATTGTGTGTTCCCAATAGTGAGTCTTTGCGTAGTTTGTTTTTAGGCGAGTGTCATGATACCACCGGCCATTTTGGGTATAAGAAGACCGCAGCCAACTTGCTGCAGCGGTTCTGGTGGCCCACGATGATGAGAGATGCCCAGCTGTACGTGGAGACTTGTCAAGTTTGTCRACGGGACAAGCCACGTACTCAGGCTCCTCTTGGGCTTCTGAAGCCCCTTCCGATTCCGGAACGGCCTGGTGAGAGTCTGTCCATGGATTTCATGGATACTCTGATCACCAGCAAGAGTGGGATGCGTCACATCTTCATCATCGTGGATAGATTTAGTAAGTATGCTAGGTTAATGCCGATGCCAGAAACAGCAAAGACAGAGTATGTGATCCGGATGTTCAAAGAGAACTGGGTCAGGGACTTTGGTCTACCGAAGTCTATTATTAGTGACAGGGATGTCCAGTTTACCAGCAAGTTGTGGAAGGCCGCCGCTGCAGAACAGGGAACTCAGTTGCAGACGACTTCTGGGAATCACCCAGAGGCCAACGGTCAAGCCGAGCAACTGAACCGCACTGTGCAGCATCTGTTGAGGCATTACATCAAGCCCAACCAGGTGGACTGGGATGAGAAGCTTGCTCTCATCGCCAGCTTGTACAACAACGTTGTACACAGCGCCACCGGGGTGAGTCCAAATAGCTTACTGCTAACATTCAAGCCTAGACTGCCCCTAGACTTTCTTCTTCCTGAGAATCAAACAACTGCTGCACCAGGTACTTTGGAATTTGCTTACCGCTATGAACAGAAGATGCAGCAGGCTGTAGAGCAGATGCAGAAGGCGCAGGCTGCAATGATAGAGTCTGAAAATAGACACCGCCGGCCTTCTACATTTCAGGTTGGGGATAGGGTCTGGGTTAAGTCGTCAGAACTGGGACAGGAGCACGGGATCTCCCGCAAACTCATGCCCCAGTACTTCAGACCCTGGGAAGTCTTGGCTATCGTTGGGACAGATCCGGATGGGCCTTCTTATGTTATTCGGATCCCTGGTCATCTCCGTACCTACCCTGTCTTTCACGCCTCCAAGCTGGCACCTTTCAAAGATACTGACCAGTTTCCATCTCGTCGCTCAATACTGCCCCCAACCATGGACGGAGAGGTGCACATCGACGATATTGTGGATCACAAAGAGCTGCCGGTATCAAGACCAGCAGGTCGGGGACGTCCTCCAAAATCGAAGCTGCAGTACCGCGTTCGGTTCCAGCATCACACTGATCCGAAGGAGGACCGCTGGTTCACCAGGGAAGAGCTCATGCAGACCACTCCTCAAGTTGTAACCCAATACGAGAGATCTCTGCAGAAGGGAAAGCGCCCTATGATCGAAGACTGAGCTTCTCAAAGGACTGTTGAAGCTGAGGAGGAGGGAATGCGAGGCCATTGCCTCTATGAGCCCCATAAGGCCCCATTTTTGCAGACCGTCGGCCGCCCTAAGTGAAGGCAGGCTCGACGAGGCCCTCAGGGGCCTTTTCTGGCCACTACGCAACTCAGGGAAATTCAGGCCATTGCGCAGCGCCAGTTGGTTGAGTGAACCCAGGCCCTGGGCCGCCTGTGTGAATGATTGTGAAGCAGGCCCTGGGCTGGATACGGGTACCGGGCCAAACAAAGGGCGAAGGCAGTTGGGCACATGCAACCACTACAGGGCCAGGGCCTGCTCTCGTCGTGCTGGGCCTTAGGCTACCGGGGCCTACTGGAAGCTTCTTGGGACTGGACGCAGGCAGGCCACTTCGATACAGGGAAGGGCCTGCCTCCTCATTCGGCATTCGGGTGCTGGCTGCATGCTGCACAAGCGCTGCTGCGCTATTTGCTGGCTGGCGCCTACGCTCTCACGGGCGAGCAGGGAAGGAGCACACAGCCATAGCCGAGCTGCGCTGCTGTAAGCTGGGTGAGGCGCAGGGTGGCCCTTGGGTGCTCGTGGCATCTGTGAGTTGGGGAACGAGGTTGTGAGTGTAGCGCGAGACATACCTGGTGCTGGAAGCGTGCGACATTAGTCGCCATATGCTCGTACTTCGGGAATGCTGTTGACGTCATCTTTCGGCTTCGTAGTATAGGCTAGATATGATCTGCCACATGTAGTCTGGGCGCCGAGCGCCAAATAGGATATCAACTCTGGTTCTTCGTTGATGATGATGGGACTATTTCAGCATTGTCAATTATGAACTCTTGGTGTGTTCTTATTTGGTGAATCTCGTGATGCAATTCTGCTGTTGGTTCGAGGTCAAGACCATCTGGACTCGTATGTATGATGCTGTTTGATTGCTGAAGTTCGCTATTGCTCATCTTCCTTGCAACAGTTCAGTTGCAAATTCACTTCAACAGGCTATGGCGCACCAGCGCCTGTACATCCCACTCTCGTCACTGTGTCCGACACCACTGCTTGCACATGCTCACTCCGGATCACCCTGAATACTCCACACGCGCACACTCTATCAGCTATCTCTACCCTACGGCGGCTATGGCAGCTCGCCACTACTACTATGGCTAGTATGTCTCCCTTCAACCCATTTCTACCTCGGGCAACCTGCAGACCACCTTCGCACAAGACGCTGTAGTAGCGCTTCTGCATGGCTTACGCAGCGAATGAATGTATGGCTGAGCGCTGCCTCTTGATTTATACTTTTGTAACTCGTTGGTCTGCCCCTTTCTATCCGCCCATGGTGCACACAATCCCTCTTGGTACTTGCTGGACTGGACTGGGACGGACTGGACCGGTACCGCTGACTGCATGGGTTTGCACTGCCAACTCGATGCAGTCGCCTGCCGATGTAATGCAGTTGGGCTCACCACTTGCCCACTTGCCTCTGTCTAAACGTGAGACAAACTTCGAAAGGCCGCTTCCGGAACTTCCGGAAGTTTGTGGGCTTGGCCTTTCGGGTGCTGTAGCAGCTACGACCTTGACCTTTCAGGACTGTAGCAGCTACAACCTTGACCTTTCATAATGCCTATAGCTACGACCTCTACAAGGTTGTGACCCCAACTCGACAGACCTACAGATCGAATCCCTACATCTACACAGTCCTGCGACAAACAAACGACAACTAACGAAACACAGGTCATGGGTTCAAACACTCGTGGGTCAACTGGATACTGTACATGGGTAAGGTAAGGTCTGGGGATCGAACCCTGGAATTTGCATCTGCCTCTGCAAAGGTAAGGTCTAGACTGCATCGGGAGCTGTCTCTAGAAGTTCTGTTCGCGTAAACCAGCGGTCGTCTTCTGGCTCTCCATAGGCAAATCTGACTTTGTATTGTTTCTGGGGACGACCTTTACCTCCTGTTCGGAAGACATCCTCACCTACTATCCCTTCGAAGTCATATCTTCCATCCATATCTGGGGGAATCATAGATCTGCGTGACAGAAACTGTTGGCTTGTGACACAAGGCAGCAATTTGGACGCATGGAACACTAGGTAGGTGTGGAGGTGTGCTGGAATCTCATTGTGTAGGACGGTCCATCCTCGCCGCCCTTGACTTCTAAGACTGGGCACGGTCCTCTATACGCAGGCAGTAACTTATGTAAGATGTTCTCCTAAGGAGTGAACTCTTTGGACTTGACCCAGACTAAGTCACCTACTTGGAACTGTGAGGGCGACGGTGCTTGTAGCTTGCTCTATCATTCTGTGTTGGGCTTTGCTGAGGTTGTCTACAACAGTAGCTATCTCTTTCTCATGTTGTATCGCGAATTCTCGTGTACCGGGTGGTAGCCTCTGAATCTGATCTCGGTTAAGTCCTTCAAATGGTTTGCGCGGTCTAAAGGACTTGTGCAGTTCGTTGGGAGTGCGACACGTAGACAAGTGCACGCTATTATTGTAGGCACTGGCTACCTTAGGAAGCATCTCATCCCAGTTGATCTGATCAGGTCTAATATACATTCTCAGAACTTGCTGCAGGAGCTTGTTCATCAGTTCAGTCTGACCGTTAGTCTCAGGATGACGGCCAGATGACATCAGCAGCTTGGAACCATAGACTTTCATCAGTTCCTGCCAGTTCTGGCTGGTGAACCTGGTACCTCTGTCACTAACTATCGATAGCGGTATACCATGCTCACTGACTCAATGGTCAAAAAACTTCTGAACTACTAAGTCTGTGCGTGCCTATGCAGGCAAAGGAACAAAAGCTGCATATTTGCTAAACCTATCAACTATGACCATGACTTTTTTGCCATGCCTACTCTTGACCTGAGTATCCATAAAGTCTATGGACACAGAATCTCCGGGTCTATCAGGAATAGGCAAGGGTCTGAGAAGACCAAGAGGGGCTCGCGTAGTAGTCTGACTTAACAACTGCGGACGTACTCTATGCAATCGGCCTTCATTCCAAGCCATACATATGCGTGCATGAGGTTGGCTAGTGTCTTTTGCCAACCGAAGTGTCCCTCTGTACGACTTTCTTCCTTCTGTCTCACGAATGCGGCCTGGCTCAGCCAGAGCCACCTTCAGAACTCAAGTACAACGCACAGCAGGTAAGTATCCACCATAGCCAGATCCTACCCCACTCTCTCTCTCTTCTCTCTCTTTTCTCTCTTCTCTCTCTTGGATCTCAGTCTTGATTCTCTTGTCCCACCATACATGCACACTCCTACTACGAAGATCTACTTTGAATGCTACTCACTGTAGACTAACTACCAACCCACTACCTATACTAACTAGCTGGCGCAGATATGGCTGCCACTTGCAAGCCAGCGTCCAGCTCTCTTCCTCCTCTCGGCGCAGCTTCTCCTCCAGCGCTAACCCAGCCAGCCAGCGCACAATTGCGTACAACACTTCCACGCCAATATGCCAGTGGGAATCTGTCGTCAAGGGAGGCTGGCCTATTGCTTTATACTGCTGGCCTCCCCTCGCAAGGTCTGCATTGGCCTGTATTGGCACTTTGGGCCTTCCTCAGTCCTAGACCCATGCATATGTGTGTGTCCCAGTATTTTCCCCTCAGGGTCTGCTGCTGCTGCGGCCATCTGGCCTGAATTTCGGACTGGGTGTCTGAATCTAGACCCCATATTAGACATAGACAGAACTGGGAACCTGTCCTTTGACTTCCTTTTGGACAGACACACATTCTACACGAACAGACATTCATACTGCACGAACAGGCACACATACTACACGTACAGACACACCTTTTACCTGAACAGACATGACCTACACACCCTCTGGACGAACAGATGTGACCTCCAAAACTAAACATTGCAACTGTTCGTTCAGGGGCACAACTGTGAAGTTTAACATTGGCTTTTGATTTAACTAGGATGTGACTTTTGACCCAAAGAACATGCCCGTTGAGCTGCTTTCACGAGTTGGGCCCTGGCGCGTGACCCCTCTATACTGCATTTGCCGAACAGGGTCTGAATCGGGTAAGGGCCCTTTTACTCTCGTCGGCCTAATTTCGAAGTCCTCTGAGAAAACCTTCATCTATCTATAATACTTATTCCTCTTCTCGCTCTTTCATATGCAGACACAATATGAGGTGCATAATCCATTAATTCTTCCTTTGTGAACCAGCGATCTTCACTTGGATCCTGATAAGCGAACCTTACCTTATATTGCCGCTATGGTCTGCCTCTACGTCCAGTTTGGAAGGTACTTTCAACAACAATCTTATCCACGTCGTATTTCCCATCCATACTAGGGGGTATCGCCGATCTGCGACTGGGAAACAACTCATTGGTTACGCAAGGTAAGAGCTTTGAAGCGTGGAATACTGGATACGTATGCAGATGTAGAGGAATCTCTATAACATATGAAGGACCATCCACATCGCCAATCACATCTAGGACTTGTCGAGGTCCTCTGTAGGCTGGTAACAACTTCTGGGAAATGTTCTCTTCGGGAACAAACTCCTTAGACTTAACCCATACCAGATCACCTACAGCGAACTGAGACGGTCTTCTGTGCTTATTTGCTTGTTCAATAATCTGATGTTGTGTTTTAACAATGTTTTCTTTAACCTTTTCAATGTCTTTCTGATACTGAATCGCAAATTCACTAGTCCCTAGTGGAAGCTTATGTACTTGATCCGGGTTTAACCGATCAATAGGCCTGCGTGGACGCCATCCCAGATGCAACTCCATCGGAGTCTTACATGTAGATAGATGAACAAAGTTATTGTAAGCGCTAGCAACTTTAGGCAAATGTTCGTCCCAGTCAATTTGGTCAGGACGGATATACATGCGCAGCGTTTGCTGCAAAATCTTATTCATCTGCTCGGTTTGGCCATTTGTCTCAGGGTGTCTACCTGACGACATAGTTAACTTAGAGCCATAGACATTCATAAGTTGCTGCCATTGTTCACTTGTGAATCGTGTATCTCTGTCACTCACAATTGTCAAGGGATGTCCATAATCTTTCACCCAATGGTTAAAGAACTCCCGGATTACCAATTCCGTTTTTGCTTCC